TGATGAACACTTGCATTCATATTTATTTTTTGCATTATAAACACTATGACTTTTGTTACAAGTCGTAATTAATCAAGAAGCCACATGAATGTCTAGGTCGTGGTCTCTAGGAAAATGATACTTTGTCTTACCAATTACTTTTACTTGATACGATTCGTTATACTTGCTGGAGTGTTAACAATCACCTCTACAGTACCTTGTACCGCAAGGAAACTCAATAGGACCCTACAAATCACCAATTGATGATCAAGAACAACTCTTAGAGCTAGAATTGGACAGGGAATGGATGAGAAAACGCATAAGACACATGCAACCAGCAGAGATAGCATGGTCTAGGTTCAAAAACAGCGGAGAAAAGGGATGAACAGCTTACTTGCTAGAATCGAGAAACTGATCGGTCAGTTATGAAGCCCTCTATGCTGTGGACGTCTGGGCACCTCCTGATCGTCAATCCATCAACTCAATAAGAAGGAAAGCTAGAGAGAAGGTAGAGTACGAGTAGAGAACGGAAGTTTTAGAGAGATGAAGTGTTTAAGATAATTTACCGATCTTTAGAAAGTTCTGTCTATATTATAAGATTATTTTTAAAGTAAAAAGCTCGTCTCATTATTTTAATACACTTATCTACTCTAATACTTTATTTTCTAGGTTCTTACATTCTCCCCAACAACAAAAATTTTCGACCTCGAAAGTTATACTTACTAGAGAACAGGTGAGGACAAGACTCCCTCATGACCTCCTATAATTCTTAAGTAGAGTCAATTGTCCTATTATCCCAGATAACTCTTAGTAGACTGATGGTTGTGCCCCTAAGTTGCTTGGGCTGGCTCTTCACAATCCTAACAGGCTGCACTTTAACAGACAGATCTTCCCTCACTTGCACGTCTTCAGCTTCTAACACGTGAGATGGACCAGGCATATACTTCCTGAGCTGTGAGACATTGATAACGGTTGAAAAAACGTTATTTTTATGCTTAAAATTGATACCAAAAGCAACCTTTAAGACTTAGAAACTAGCTTGAACTCATATTTTTGCTTTAGTTTTGTGAATAAGAGAGTTGAAAGTGAATTTAATGGTTTTGTGCAAGATTCCCTTGGTTTTGTGCAAGATTCCCTTGATTTTGTAGGCTAATTGAATGATTTGAAAGAAGAATTGAAGTACCGAATGATTGGAGTGCTGAAAAGTCAACTAGAAACCAAAAAAGTCAACCAGTCAACCAGAGTGCTGAAAAGTCAACCAGAATACAGAAAAAGTTCCGCGGAGCGGCACTTTTCAGGTGCCAAAATCACCGCTGAGGGGCAAAAACAGCAGCTGGGGGCAAAATGGATCATGCGCTAGTACCGCTCAGCGATAAAATAGCGCTAAGCGCCATTCTAAATGGGCTTGGACCGGTTTTCTGTTCATTTTATGGGCTTGGACCTAATTTTCTGTATTTTTTAGAATAGTATATAAGCTTTAAGACGTCCTAGGGTTTGTATCTTTGGCTGGAGACGAAGCAAACACTCTCTTTTCCACCCCTTGGAGGAAGATCTTGGATGCTGAGGCTACCTACTCATCCTTCTAGGGTTTTATCTTTCATTCTTTCATTATTGTTCATCTAGTTTCACCATGAATATGGTGAACTAAACCTTGTATTGTTGTTGGGGAATCAATGTAGTCTTGTGAAACTCTCATATATGGAATTTGTTTTAACATCTTATATTAAGATACATGCTTTCTTTTATCTTTAGTTAGGGTTTTTCTTCTTTGCTTAATGCTTGCTTTGTTTAACTCATTCATTGCCATGATTATTGATTTGGTCGATATGGGAACGTACAGGGAAATCTAGATCCGGGGAATTTCTCCCAATAGCATATTGGTTGCCTTTAAGCTCCTGCACTTCAGAACTAATTACTAGGAATGCTAGGAATTGTATGAACTCGTAATTAAGGATAGGCCTTCTTGCAAGGTGATTTAGAGAGTGGCATTAGCAATTGATGAAAAGAATGATGAATTCCTAAAAGTATATAAGAGTGGATAAGATGAAATTGATAACCCCAACAACATACTCATTCATCTAATTCATTAAAGTGTTTGTATTCCTCTTTTCCATTGATCAAATTCATGCATACATGTTTAATTATTTTCTTTTGCATTTAAAACCTAAAATCAATTGTTCACAAGTCTTTAATAATCAACAAATCATATAGCTAACTAGGCCGTGAGTCCTTTGGGAGAACGATACTTGGTCTTATCGAGTTTTATTACTTGATACGATTCGGTCACACTTGCCGAGGGTTAAACAAGTTTGTGGCGCCGTTTTTCGGTGTTCATAAATTTGTCATCAGACATGAAACACTGAATGAAGATTCGCCAACTGGGGTGCCATGGCTTTCTCATAAGCAACTGGTCCCACACGTCTCAAGATCTGATAAGGACCAAGATACCTAGGAGATAACTTCCTAGCACGAATGGCTCTTCCTACACCAGTAGTAGGAGTCACTCTGAGGAAAACATGATCCCCGACTGCAAACTCCAAAGGTCTCCGTCTCTGATTAGCATAGGACTTCTGCCTACTTTGGGACACCCGCATCCTCTCATGAATCAACTTTATTTTATCTGTAGTCTGCTGAATCAAATCTGGCCCAGTCAACATCGGTTCTCCCTCCTGAAACTAGCAAAGAGGCATTCTACATCTTCTCCCATATAGTGCCTCAAACGGTGCCATACCAATGCTGACCTGAAAATTGTTGTTGTAGGTGAACTCCACCAATGACAACACCGCATCCTAGACTCCCAATTAATCCAAGACACACGTCCTCAGCAATTCCTCAAGTGACTGGGTCGTCCTCTCTAACTGGCCATAGTCTGGGGATGATACGTTGAACTCATCCACAGTCTGCTGCCCATCTCACTCTGAAGCGTCTGCCAGAATCTAGAAGTGAATCGCGGATCTCTATCTGAAATAATGTTGGAAGGCACCCCATGTAGTCTCAAGCCTCTTTGAGATACAATTATTCCAGCTTTACCATCGACATTCTCAAATTTACGGCCAAGAAATGAGCACTCTTTGTCAACCTGTCCACAATCACCCAAATAGTATCATGACCTCTGACCGTGCGTGGCAAATGGGTAACAAAATCCATAGCAATGCTATCTCATTTCCACTCAGGAATCTCCAACTACTATAACAAACCACTGGTATCTGATGCTCCACTTTAGCCTTCTGACAAGTTAAACAAGAAGAGACAAATTGTGCTACATCTCTCTTCATCCCAGACCACCAAAAAGATTCCTTGAGATCCTAATACATTTTAATCATGCCAGGATGCATGCTAAAACGACTCTGATGACCCTCCTCAAGGATCAATCTCCTCAACTCAGAATCACTAGGAACACAGACCCTGCCTTTGAACCGCATTATATCATCAGCTCCCAAAACAAAGTCTCTACCCTGATCTATACCAATCAACCCCACTGACCTCTGTAGCTCGACATCTGACAACTCTGTCTCCCTGATACGACCCAACAGATCACTCGACACTATCAAGTTGTTGCATCTGATACTATCTACCTCAAAATCCACCTGCAATCTCAAGTCTCTTGTAAACTCTCAACCAGCTCCAACTCTCTGACCATCAACGCTGAAACATGCACTGATTTCCTGCTTAACACATCTCCTACCACATTCGCCTTCCTAGGATGATAGAGGAGATCAAACTTATAATCCTTCAAAAACTTCATCCATCTCCTCTGCCTCATATTCAGTTCCTTCTGATCAAAGAGATACTTTACACTATTGTGATCACTAAATACCTGAAACTGCGCACCATAAAGATAATGCCTCCAAATCTTCAAGGCAAACACAACTGCTGCCAACTCCAAATCATGAGTGGGATAATTCTTCTCATGAACCTTGAGTTGCCTTGAAGCATAGGCAACTATTTTTCTTTCTTGCATCAGAACACAGCCTAGTCCCTAATAAGAAGCATCAAAGAAAACCTCAAAAGGTTTACCTGTGTCAGGGATAACCAACACTGGAGCACTAGTCAACCTTTGCTTTAGCTCTTGAAAGCTAGACTCACACCGATCTGTCCAAACAAAAGGTTGATCCTTCTTCGTCAACTGTGTGAACGACGCCACAATCCTAGAGAAGCCCTCAATGAAACCACAGTAGTAGCACGCTAAACCCACAAAGCTTCTGATCTCGGTAGCTGACTTCGGCCTCTTCCACTGAAGCACTGCCTGAACCTTGGCTGGATCCATAGAAATCCCACCAGCAGATATCACATGACCCAAAAACTGAACTTCTCCCAACCAAAAATCACACTTAGACAGTTTAGCATACAACTTCTTCTCTCTTAAAATCTCAAGCACTATCCTAAGGTGATCCTCATGCTCCTCTCGCGTCTTAGAATAAATCAGTATGTCATCTATAAAGACAACAACAAATTTATCCAAGGATGGCCTGAAGATTTTGTTCATATAATCCATGAATATGGTTGGAGCGTTAGTCACACCAAAAGGCAATAACTACATACTCATAGTGACCATATTTGGACCTGAAGGCAGTCTTCTGCACATCACCTGCCTTGACCAGAATATGATGATAACCTGACCTCAGGTCTATCTTGGAGAACAACGTAGCTCCATGTAGTTGATCCATCAAGTCATCAATCTTAGGTAGAGGGTACTTGTTCTTTATGGTTAACTTATTCAACTGCCTGTAATCTATACACAACCAGGAGCTACCATCCTTCTTCTTTACAAGTAACACAAGCGCACCCCACGACGAGACGCTAGGTCGGATAAACTGTTTCTCCAACAAGTCTTCAATCTGGTTCTTCAACTCGGCTAACTCTGCTGTAGCCATTCGATACGGAGCTATTGACACTGGCCCTGCACCAAGCACCAGATTAATAGAGAACTCAACCTCCCTCTAAGGAGGCAGTCCTTGAACTTCCTCAGGAAACACATCCAGAAAGTCACTCACAACGGAGTGATTCACGCCCTGACTATGCTACTCCACCTCCAGATGAGTTAGCACCATGAAACAAACTGAACCCCTAGCCAACTCTTGCCTCAATTGTCCCGAAGAAAAAAATGTCGGCTCCTCAACCTCGGGAAACAACAGTTTCTTTTCACCACAGTCTATAAGGATACGATTGGCAGAAAGCCAATCAATCCCTAGGATCACCTCTAACCCTTGTAGAGGTAAACAAATCAAGTTTACCTTGAACTGACGCCCTTCTACTACCACAGAACATCTAGCACAAACCGTAGATGTCTTAACCAACCCCGAAGTGGGGGTAGATACAGTCAGATCATATTGTAGCTCCCTCACTGCCAACCCCAGGTCCTCTACACAAGACTCTGGCACAAAAAAGTGTGTTGCTCCAGAATCAAACAATACACAACACGGCTTCCCAAACAACAAACTACACCCAATGATGAGATTACCTAAGCTAGCCGCCTCGGCTCCTGTCAACGCATAAACTCTACCGGCTGCTTGGGGTCTGTCACCACCCCTCTGTATTGATCTCCCGGCTTGATGAGTCTGTGACCCTACCCTCTTGACCGTAGGACAATCCCTAGGATAATGACCATCTCGACTACAGATGTTACACCTCTTAAACCCCACCATCTGAGGGCAAGCTGACTGAAGATGTGGACCTCCACACATATAACATCTCAATGCATTGGAGAAACTAGACTGCCCCGAATGAACTAAAGGCTGAGAGGAGGAACCCCTAGACCCAGAAGAGGATGGTCTAGGATAAGGGGTCCTCTTAGAACTAAAGCTACCCCTAGACACCACCTGTCCTCCAACCCTTAATGGTTGGCTCTACTGCCTCTCAACTTCTCTCTTTGTCTTTTCTAAGACCTTGGCCCTCTCCACTAACACTGAAAACTCTTTAATGCAAAGGCCAGCCACCAGTAATTTCACATCACCCCTCAAACCGTTCTCAAATTTCCTACATTGCCACTCCTCATCCATGGCTAAGGTGTGAAAACGAAGCAAATGCTTGAATCTATCTACATATTCTGAAATAGTCATGTTGCCCTTAACCAACTGTAGAAACTCCACCTCTTTGGCAAACCTTACATTGTCTTGAAAATACTTAGTGTAAAATTTCCTCTTAAAAACTTCCTAGGAAATCTAGACTCCATTGCTCTCCAACAAAGACCTAGTGCTGCTCCACCAATGGCTAGCTTCCCCAAATAAAAGATATTTTGAGAAAGCCAACCTATTCACCTCCGAACACATCTTAGCATTATAAATCCTCTCTATATCTCTAAACCACTTATCTGCTTCATAAAGGCTGCATTTTCCAATAAACTTAGCTGGATGGTGCTGAAGGAAGCTTTCTAATCTCCACTCTTGAGGCTGATAGGATGAAGAAGGTCCAGTTGTAGCCCTGCCGCTTAACATCAAATCTAAATATTGCCTCTGGGATGTCTCAACTAACACCCTGGCAGCTCCCAACTGCTGCAAAGCCATAGTATGTTAATTAACCAACGCAGTGTTCTATTGTTGAATTGCTTCCAACACAGACTCCATCATTCTCATCACGTTGGAAGTGTCGGGATTATGGAGGTGGAGAAGGAGGAGACCTATCTGCCATCTTCTGTTCACATAGAGAGAAAAAGCCATCAGTCTTACTCAAAGAGACAAGGACAACCACTATACGTAGCTAAGAGTAACAAGCACAAGCAAGGCACACTCAAAACCTACAGGATTCCTAAGGAAAGAACTACTCTGATACCATTAATGTAACATCCCAAAATATATAGTATAAACTATATAAATAGTAGTCAGCATTATAATATGAGAGAACGCACCAACGCATTCGCACCAAGTCATTCGCACAATGCACCAACTCGTTGTGCGAATGTCCTTGCCAGAGACTAGCTCGCCATAGTGACTCGTTATGTGAAACTATTCGCACAACGAGTCTGCATAATCTGCAGAACAAAATTCTACAGATTTATGCAACTCAACCACAACATACCAATTCTAACTATTTTTCCCAACTTCTAACACCCCTACATTGTATTTTATACCTAATTAGACTTATCTANAAAGCTCATTTACCATTGTTTAACAATGCAACAAAAGTGCGTTTAGCATTGTTTACCAGTGTATAGCAAGAGTGCATTTAGTAAGACTCTTTTATGAAACAAACCGAACGGTTTATGAGAGTAGATATGCATGTAGAAAAGTATGTCATTTTTCTTATCACTTTTGTTGTTTTGAGATGTTGTGTTTACTAACAATGCTTTGTTTAGTGATCTTTGTTTAGTTTAAGAGTGCGTTTAGCAAGGTGTCATTCAACGCTTATTTTTGGAGTGTTGTTTATATCTTTTAGCGTGTTTATCAAAAACATCATTTTGCACAATGTATAGTGAAAGCTCATTTACCATTGTTTAACAATGCAACAAAAGTGCGTTTAGCATTGTTTACCAGTGTATAGCAAGAGTGCATTTAGTAAGACTCTTTTATGAAACAAACCGAACGGTTTATGAGAGTAGATATGCATGTAGAAAAGTATGTCATTTTTCTTATCACTTTTGTTGTTTTGAGATGTTGTGTTTACTAACAATGCTTTGTTTAGTGATCTTTGTTTAGTTTAAGAGTGCGTTTAGCAAGGTGTCATTCAACGCTTATTTTTGGAGTGTTGTTTATATCTTTTAGCGTGTTTATCAAAAACATCATTTTGCACAATGTATAGTGAAAGCTCATTTACCATTGTTTAACAATGCAACAAAAGTGCGTTTAGCATTGTTTACCAGTGTATAGCAAGAGTGCATTTAGTAAGACTCTTTTATGAAACAAACCGAACGGTTTATGAGAGTAGATATGCATGTAGAAAAGTATGTCATTTTTCTTATCACTTTTGTTGTTTTGAGATGTTGTGTTTACTAACAATGCTTTGTTTAGTGATCTTTGTTTAGTTTAAGAGTGCGTTTAGCAAGGTGTCATTCAACGCTTATTTTTGGAGTGTTGTTTATATCTTTTAGCGTGTTTATCAAAAACATCATTTTGCACAATGTATAGTGAAAGCTCATTTACCATTGTTTAACAATGCAACAAAAGTGCGTTTAGCATTGTTTACCAGTGTATAGCAAGAGTGCATTTAGTAAGACTCTTTTATGAAACAAACCGAACGGTTTATGAGAGTAGATATGCATGTAGAAAAGTATGTCATTTTTCTTATCACTTTTGTTGTTTTGAGATGTTGTGTTTACTAACAATGCTTTGTTTAGTGATCTTTGTTTAGTTTAAGAGTGCGTTTAGCAAGGTGTCATTCAACGCTTATTTTTGGAGTGTTGTTTATATCTTTTAGCGTGTTTATCAAAAACATCATTTTGCACAATGTATAGTGAAAGCTCATTTACCATTGTTTAACAATGCAACAAAAGTGCGTTTAGCATTGTTTACCAGTGTATAGCAAGAGTGCATTTAGTAAGACTCTTTTATGAAACAAACCGAACGGTTTATGAGAGTAGATATGCATGTAGAAAAGTATGTCATTTTTCTTATCACTTTTGTTGTTTTGAGATGTTGTGTTTACTAACAATGCTTTGTTTAGTGATCTTTGTTTAGTTTAAGAGTGCGTTTAGCAAGGTGTCATTCAACGCTTATTTTTGGAGTGTTGTTTATATCTTTTAGCGTGTTTATCAAAAACATCATTTTGCACAATGTATAGTGAAAGCTCATTTACCATTGTTTAACAATGCAACAAAAGTGCGTTTAGCATTGTTTACCAGTGTATAGCAAGAGTGCATTTAGTAAGACTCTTTTATGAAACAAACCGAACGGTTTATGAGAGTAGATATGCATGTAGAAAAGTATGTCATTTTTCTTATCACTTTTGTTGTTTTGAGATGTTGTGTTTACTAACAATGCTTTGTTTAGTGATCTTTGTTTAGTTTAAGAGTGCGTTTAGCAAGGTGTCATTCAACGCTTATTTTTGGAGTGTTGTTTATATCTTTTAGCGTGTTTATCAAAAACATCATTTTGCACAATGTATAGTGAAAGCTCATTTACCATTGTTTAACAATGCAACAAAAGTGCGTTTAGCATTGTTTACCAGTGTATAGCAAGAGTGCATTTAGTAAGACTCTTTTATGAAACAAACCGAACGGTTTATGAGAGTAGATATGCATGTAGAAAAGTATGTCATTTTTCTTATCACTTTTGTTGTTTTGAGATGTTGTGTTTACTAACAATGCTTTGTTTAGTGATCTTTGTTTAGTTTAAGAGTGCGTTTAGCAAGGTGTCATTCAACGCTTATTTTTGGAGTGTTGTTTATATCTTTTAGCGTGTTTATCAAAAACATCATTTTGCACAATGTATAGTGAAAGCTCATTTACCATTGTTTAACAATGCAACAAAAGTGCGTTTAGCATTGTTTACCAGTGTATAGCAAGAGTGCATTTAGTAAGACTCTTTTATGAAACAAACCGAACGGTTTATGAGAGTAGATATGCATGTAGAAAAGTATGTCATTTTTCTTATCACTTTTGTTGTTTTGAGATGTTGTGTTTACTAACAATGCTTTGTTTAGTGATCTTTGTTTAGTTTAAGAGTGCGTTTAGCAAGGTGTCATTCAACGCTTATTTTTGGAGTGTTGTTTATATCTTTTAGCGTGTTTATCAAAAACATCATTTTGCACAATGTATAGTGAAAGCTCATTTACCATTGTTTAACAATGCAACAAAAGTGCGTTTAGCATTGTTTACCAGTGTATAGCAAGAGTGCATTTAGTAAGACTCTTTTATGAAACAAACCGAACGGTTTATGAGAGTAGATATGCATGTAGAAAAGTATGTCATTTTTCTTATCACTTTTGTTGTTTTGAGATGTTGTGTTTACTAACAATGCTTTGTTTAGTGATCTTTGTTTAGTTTAAGAGTGCGTTTAGCAAGGTGTCATTCAACGCTTATTTTTGGAGTGTTGTTTATATCTTTTAGCGTGTTTATCAAAAACATCATTTTGCACAATGTATAGTGAAAGCTCATTTACCATTGTTTAACAATGCAACAAAAGTGCGTTTAGCATTGTTTACCAGTGTATAGCAAGAGTGCATTTAGTAAGACTCTTTTATGAAACAAACCGAACGGTTTATGAGAGTAGATATGCATGTAGAAAAGTATGTCATTTTTCTTATCACTTTTGTTGTTTTGAGATGTTGTGTTTACTAACAATGCTTTGTTTAGTGATCTTTGTTTAGTTTAAGAGTGCGTTTAGCAAGGTGTCATTCAACGCTTATTTTTGGAGTGTTGTTTATATCTTTTAGCGTGTTTATCAAAAACATCATTTTGCACAATGTATAGTGAAAGCTCATTTACCATTGTTTAACAATGCAACAAAAGTGCGTTTAGCATTGTTTACCAGTGTATAGCAAGAGTGCATTTAGTAAGACTCTTTTATGAAACAAACCGAACGGTTTATGAGAGTAGATATGCATGTAGAAAAGTATGTCATTTTTCTTATCACTTTTGTTGTTTTGAGATGTTGTGTTTACTAACAATGCTTTGTTTAGTGATCTTTGTTTAGTTTAAGAGTGCGTTTAGCAAGGTGTCATTCAACGCTTATTTTTGGAGTGTTGTTTATATCTTTTAGCGTGTTTATCAAAAACATCATTTTGCACAATGTATAGTGAAAGCTCATTTACC